TCCCTCACCTATTCTACCACCCCTGTGCAGATCCAGATTGGGAAATGGTAGGATGTCTCTTCCACCAGTGCTCATTATGCCTTAATGTGTACATGAACCACCTGGGGATCTTATTTATGCTGACTGAGTCTGTAGGTCTGGGCTGAAGCCTGAGCTTCTACATCTCTAATAGGCTCCCGGGTGAAGATGTTGCTGCTGGTTTGTGGACACGAGGCCTTTGGCACCCTGTCTCTGTGCACTGCTACTTATCATGCTGTTAGGGCAGTGATCACAGAGTGTGTTCTGCATCTCCCACTGTAGCACAAATCCCCAGAGATCTGAGGCCTGAGTCTAATTCATTTGAGTGCTTCCTCTTGCAGCAGAGGTGAGGCTGGCTTCAGACACTCTGAAGAGCTTTCCGTGCTCCCACTTCAGTGGGCAGAGACAGAGGTCATGGCGACTGTAGAGTACTGCTATTTCACAGCCTGGGATGGCAAGAATATCAGAGTAGGAATCCCATACCTTAGGGCAGGAGGGCCCAGGATATAACAGCCGATGACTCCAGAAATCAAGATAGAAAGTCATTGCTGAAAGGTGGGTGTCAACACAGGGTTAGCAGTGGGAGAGTGGCAGCTACAATAAAGCTGTTACATCCCCTACCTGGGTACAAGGCTTTCTACTGCATTGCTGAGCCTTCATTGCGACATCACAGATGATGGAAACATCCTTGCCACCTGATGCATTTTCCAGATGTCTCCAGGATTTGTGTGCACTCATATTCCATTGAATTGAAATACATATTGATTACTGTTCCACACAACAGTGCAGTGATCTTATAAGAATGTAAATCTCTGATTCCTTGATTCTCCTACTTAAAATCTTCCTAGGGCTTTCCATACTTCTCAACCTAAGATTCGAACTTGAAGGGTCCTGTACACCCACTCCCCAACCCATTCTTAGCAGGGTCCTCCATACTCACAGACTGTAATCATCCTGGCCTCCTCTCTGTCAGACACGGCAGCCATTCCCACCTCAGGGCTTTTGCACTAGCTGTTTTTCTTTCTTCAAATGTCATTCCTCTACTTAAAGGCAAGGTTTAAGCAACAGAACTACTCCAAAATGAGGTATATAATCTTTGATTTTGTGAGTTCAACATGGACTTATTTTTCCTTTTGTTCTTTCTCATTTGAAGTCTAGAGCAGTCTGACACCTTCATGATATAAGGTATCACCTTCTGAAGCCCAGAGACACAATGGGGCTTAGTCAAAGCCACTCCAATTGTAGGGAA